ATAAAACAAAGTTAACATGAATGGTATTGAGTGATTTATTGTATAGCAGTGTATGTGTAGGTGAATAAGATTCATTTTTAAAAACCAAAACAAATTAACTAAATAAATACACCCATCCACTCATATTTTAAAATCAAAACTCTATTTTTCCTTCTAATTGGATATAGTTAAATTCGTCCGTTCGCGTAATATTTTAAATATTTAGTTGCTATTAATAGTTTACTTGTCATCAAATTTATTTTATACCCTTCATAAGACTCCGGTTTGTTGAATTTAGCGAGTAAAAAGATTAACATCATGACAAACAAACATGCACTCGAAATCTAACCTTAATTATTCATAAAATCCGCGTCAACTGAACATGGCAGCCTCCGAGCAGTTAATGCAGCTGCAAATTGGCAAAAGTTATACCCGTACTAGCATGAAAATATTTCAGAAGCAAGTTTTATGGCTTGAGAGTAATGAGAGAGTCGTTATTTCAAGAAACCGTAAAATATTCCGACTCAAGAAGTTACTCCTTTATGGCAATTCCTTTTGATTTAGAAGAGTAGTTAAACGCAACGTTAGAGTTATTAGTCATTGAATTTTAATGATCATAATAGCGGCAATAGCTTCTAGTCATTCCTCGTCAAGGTTGAGTTGAGGCTATCCTTCCAAGGACTGACTCGCCGGAACTAGGAACTACATTTTTCCAAAAAGTATAATTTTAACGGTTATTTTAATAGATCTAATTAGGTATAATAGGCAAATTTACAACATTGTGAGTGTATTTTAATTCTAGTTAAGTAATCTAAAACGAACATTTAACAATCTGAGCAATTACTAAGACATTTTAAATGAATTATGTCATTATGTATAGGTATATTATAACGTAAGAAAAAGACATAATTATTGTTAAAAATAAATATGTAAAAAACATAAATCCAGTCACATATATACATTGAACCTCCATAGTAAAATATTGTTATTCATTTGTTTGGTCTTAGGAAAAATAATGTAGATTACTTGAGTAAAAGTGATTTTTCCTCACTCGTAATTTAACAACTATCGTATTAAAGAATGGTATCCAACTTCTCTAATATGGCCTTCTTAAATAGTAGGAAAATGACTAAAAATCGATCCCACATAAAAAGTATTTATTAACAGAAGGTTATAACAATCTATTTCGTCCTTAGGGCCATCACAGGCCTACATTTACAAATGAAAACACAGTTAAAATATTGTAAAAGATATAGTTATAATATACGTGGCCTGTCTAAAAAGTATCTGACGTTTGGCCAGAAAAAATATTTCGAATACCTAACGGAGTTGAGACCCTAATCTCCTTCAAAGTAGGCCCCTTGTGCTTGCACATACTTAGCCCACCGAACCTTGTACTGCTGGAAACACCTCTGGAAGTCTTCTTTTGGAAGGGTGTATAGCTCCGTCGTCGCGTTTCGCATTATCTCTTTTCTACTCTCAAAACGGTATCCTTTCATAGGCGTCTTCAATTTTGGAAACAGCCAGAAGTCGCAAGGAGCCAGGTCTAGAGAGTAGGGAGGTTGGCGGACGGTTGTAATTCCATGTTTGGCTAAGAAAGTGTTGATCAATTGGGATGAATGTGAAGGAGCGTTGTCATGATGCAAGTGCCAGTTGTTCGCCGTCCACATGTCTGGTCTTTTGCGCCGAACTGCGTCACGGAGTCACCGAAGAACATTTTGATAGTACTCCTTTGTCCTTCCGGTGCGTATTCGTGATGCACAATTCCACGGACATAAAAAAAAAGTCAGCATCACTTTGATTTTGCTTTGCACCTGACGCGCTTTCTTCAGCCTTGGAGAATTGAGAAGCTTCCATTGTGACGACTGTCTTTTTTGTTTCTGGGTCGTACAGTTATCACGGTGTTCAGAAACCCAGGATCAGTATTGGCGGTATCCAGAAGGTCTTGTGTAATGTCAAAACGAAGATCTTTTTATTCCGGCGACAACAACTTGGGTACGAATTTTGCAGTCACCCGGTACATGTTCAAATCTTCACGCAAAATTACGTCGTACAGAATCTTTACTCACTCCAACCTCTTCTGCAATCTCCCGCACTGTCAAACGACGATCTGCCATTATAAAATTTCGCACCCTCTCAACATTAGCTGCACTCCGAGCAGTTTGGGGCCTGCCACAACGCTGCTCACTCTCCGCTGATGTGTGGCCATCTTTGAAGCGGTTGATCCACTCCTTAATTTATGTTAAATCCGTCGCATCTTCTCCAAATACCTGCTGATTCTTACGAATTGTTTGGCTTTGAGAATCAACAAGCTTTTGATATAATTTGATGCAGTATCTTTGCTTAATTCGTTCAGTCATCTTGCGAGAAAACTAAATCCGACGAACACTTAGAACAGCACCTTACTTGGCGACCACCAGCCAGTGACTTGCACAAGCGAACGCAGTGAAAAAATTCAAGCACGCGCATTAAGGTTCTTCCTTCCACCGTGCACAGTGGCGCCGCCTTAGAGTCACTACTTTGCGCGGGAAAAATTAAGGTCGAATACTTTTTAGACAGGCTTCGTATACCTAAGAATAAATACTTTAAACAAATACTTGGATGTCCCAAGATTTTTTTTTTATAATTATGGTTACTCGAAGGAGGGTTTAGAGGGAGAACAGGAGGAGAAAATAAGGGAAGAATAGGAGGGGGGAGAAAAGTTAGATGTTCATGTGGGGAAACACTAATATAAACGCTGCATTTCGATTAGAACTACCTAGCAGCTATAAAGTCGCTAAAATTATAGTGATACCCAAACCTGGAAAACTTCCAAATGAGGGAAAGTCCTATAGACCCATATATCTGTTACCGATGCTATCTAAATGTTTCAAAAAACTTTTACTATCTGGGGAAGAAACCCCAGGTGCGCCCCACGGTTCCGCGGCATTGTTCATAAGCAATGTATGCTCTCTTAACTCTGTAACTAAGTAGATTAAAATCCATCAAAGACATTAAAAATATAATACCAGACCACTAATTTGGATTTAAAAACAAGCACTTCACTATTGATCAAGCTTGCATTATAACGAATGCTGAAATAGTGCAAACACTGAAAGAAAAAAAGACTTGTACTTCATTTTTTCTAGATGTAGCTTAGGTTGTTGACAAGGTATAGTTAGAAGGCCTTGGATATAAAATAAATAAACTTTCACCTAAGCAATGTATAAAATTTTCAGAATAAAGCAAGAAGAATATTCCACACCTTAAGAAATTTAATCAGGGGTACCTCAAGGAAGTGTCCTTGAGTCAGCTCTTTGTTGTTTACCTACGATATACCACAAAATAATGAAAATAGCCATATTTTTATGTCGACGACCAGGGTCGGACTGGCTAAATTTGGCCCCATCGGCACCACGAGTAATTGGCCCCCAGCCTACTCTTTTTGACCAACTCGATTATTCCCACAAAGGTGATTAATCACATTTAAGACAAAAATATTTAGAATTTATATATTAAAAAGTAGTGTTAAAAGAGTAGTAGATAGTCCAAAATCATGAAAATTTCAAATAATCTAAAAATACTGTAAAATTATGCGTTTAAAACATAATATAAATACTGTGTAGGTAATAAATAAAATATAAAGGTTAATTTTAATATAAAACATTTTTAATTTTTTAAATAAACAACAAAACGAAAAATTTTAAGATATTAAAACCAAAATAAATAAAAATAAAAGTAAAAAAAGTAAAAAAATCACAAATTAACATTAAAAAAAAACTGACTTCCATAAGCAACAACAAATAATAAAATTAATATTACATAGTCAAAAATAGGAGTGTAAGTACTATTTGACTAAATCTGACTAAAAATTTCTATCACAAAATATAATGTTGTCAACAGACATAAATAATTAAAATAAACAGGTACACGTACAAAATCACAAAACAAAATAAAACTACCATTCTTAAAGAACATAACAAAAATAAAAAAAACTAGTCTATATATTTGTGTGAAATTTAATAATTTATTTTTTAATTTCACATTATCGATCCCAATCTTTTATGCAATATCAGTAAATTTGGAGTCGCTGAATAAATCCAAGTTTTAAAATTTCTGGGGACAAGGCCTGAAAAATTTTAATAAATTTGTTTGTTGGCTTCAAATCTCTGGCTTACACTTTGAATTGCCTGATTTAAATACTTCAACTTCAAACTTTTTATTGGATCGGTAATAACGGAATCTTCGGTTGTTTCGTATACCAAACGTTTTATGTAATTTAAAAATGCATTCGTCTTTTTAACAATTTAATCAAATTTGTTATACATTTCATTTATCATTGATTTTGCATTTATTACCAAATGGCAGGCTTGGATAAAATCAATGCCTTCCTTTGTCTGAAGATAATTTGAGGCAATAGTCACTTATTCAAACATTTTTATCAAGATAAATGATATTAAAAGAGTTTCATATTTGCAGAAATTTTCAAGTAATGACTGCCCCTCAGAGCATGTTTTTGAGTCAAAATCTGTACTTTCAGCAATTTCTAATAAAACAAGTAACAACGTAGAATACATTTCTTTAGAATGGTCGTCAAATGTGCCAAATAAAGTAGAAACAGCCTTACTCTTTGCCCACCATCTAGTTTCTCCAATTTTTTGTAATCTTTTAACATGGGTGTGAGTAAATTTTAACGTTTCCCATAAATAGACTCTTATATAACTCCGAAACAAAACATGCAACTCGATTTAACAACCCAGAGTAAGATTTAATTTTTTGATTGCATTGAGTGCTATCACATACAACTAAATTTAGTATATGGGCATAGCACCATGTAAACAGAGATTTTGGTGAAAAGTCCTTAATATGAGCTTGGAGTCCATTGTACTGACCTGACATACTAGCTACGCCGTCGGAGCTACAGCCAATTATTTTTGTCTCGTCCGAGGTCTAAGTTATTTAAAACATTAATAAATTTGGTCTTATCAGCAGTACTTATCTCCACTGGAACAATATCTAACAACCTTTATTTTTCTTTTCCCTCACTCTCTAACTATACTTGAACATTGTTCAATCACCATCCTGGGTTGAATCAATTTGAACACTATAATTTCCAGCTTTTTAACTTCGTTTGCTACTCTTAATTTAATTTCATTTCCGATTATAGTTATTATTGTATTTATAGTTGTTTTGCCGAAAAATGTAATTAAATTACCTCGGCCATGGATGTCTTTATACTTTTCTTTTCTTGACAATGCGTCCTTAGCTGCCATATCCACATGATGTTTCAATATATCGTCATATTTTGCCAATAGTAAAACTAGCTCCAGGAAATTTCCTTTTCCTTCTGTATCATCCATGATCTCTTAGATTATATGCATTCTCATTTTTCCCCCTATAAGCAATTCCTTGTTTCGCAATGAAACAAATTATATTAATTATTCTAAGTAAGCAAAGCCTTAGATACAATTCGAAAGTATACTTGCTCTACCTTAAATTTATTAGAATTAGGCTGAACTGGATAAGATGCCAAAAATAATATTTTGGTTTCCATACTAGATTCTACAGATAAGTGAATGAATTTGGTTAAACTTTCTTTAATATTTTCCCTTGGTTTTGGTTGTTCCTCAACTTCAGTTTTTTCAACAGGTTTTTTATGTTTAAAATTTTTGTCACTTCATTTTTCTTCAGATTCATAATCGTCAATTTCAGTTCGTTGGAAGAAAGAAGATGCATTTTCACTATTTTTAGTAGGTGAGTCATTGCTATTTCTTTCCAAAGTACTAATGTCTTCTTCGTAATTTAGAGGAGTATTTGCGCTTTTTTCAAAAACAACTTTAAACTACATTGGGTTGGCGACTCTGCCGCTTGTAAAAGTAATTTTTTGTCTTTCTTCTCGTTTTTCTGTTCAACTTTTGTAGACTCTCTTTTTGGTATTGCTTCGCAAATCAGCCTTAGCCATCTAAGAAATAAGGTTTTCTATTATTTTAAATAAATATATCAACGAAAATGAATTAATAAGGATTAATCCTGAATTAAAATGAAAAGGAATCTTGGATGATTTCAAAACATACTTTTTGACTTAAAAGTAACACGGTATATTTTAATCAACAAATAATATAATTTTCGAATGTATATTAAAATTCTGTGTAATTTATTTTTTGTCAATAATTTACTATTACTATTAGCTTACTAAACATACCTACTTTTAACTTTTATTTAATACACATCGATTTCAATAGGCTTCCTAATGTCTTACTTGGTCCAAACAGTCCAAACACACAGGAAAAACGAGAAAGAACAATAAGTACATACAGGCCTCGCGCCTCGCCTCACTTTCGCAACAGCGCACCAATGTTGCCAGATTTCCTAGATTTCGTTGAATTATTGTAAACAACACTTTTATGATGGTGGTTTGATTTATCTCTAGTGCTTGACCGTTGACCGTTGGCCGCCAAAAGGGTTTGGCCCCGTCGGCAAATGCCGACTTGCCGACCGGGCCAGTCCGACACTGTCGACGACCAACCATACTTGCCATCGGTAAACCATACAAGATTCGACCAGAAAATACGAGTGAACAAACATATGGCGCATCAAGTCCAACGAAACTAAAACAGTTCATGTTAGTCTAGTTTTGTGCAGTCCGTTATGAAACGGACTGCAGACTAAAATTATGAAATTTTAATTTTTGAATTTATATTATGTTTTTCACAATTTTAATTCTTGAATTTCTATCATGTTGTAGAAACTTGAAAATTGGAATTGTAGCTTCTCATTATAAATAAATAATGACGTTTATAGATTTTTTTTTGGGATTTTCACTTTTTAGGTGGGAAACGGAGGGGTGATTGTTTGTATGGAAGTATCGGTTTTTTTAAAGGTAGTAACTTGAAAATTGAAATTGTAGCTACCTATCATTAATAAATAATAACTGTAATCTATTTTTGGATGGTCCCTTAACCCGAGACGATTTCTGGGAAACCAAAAACATCATAAACACAGCCGCCGAGAAAAGGGTCGTGCGGTCAGGGCAGAGACAACCCAACGTCAGTGGGACAAATATATGGATGGGCAGATTATCGAACACCGTTGAGGAATGCAGTCGGTTTCTTTGTTAAGACTGTGTTATTCCATTTGTTTTAATAATTATTATTTTTGTAACGTTATTTTAATATTAATAAACTTCATACGTAAAATAAACATTTAATTATTTGTGTAGTTTACATAACGTATTTCAGATTTTTTAATTTTCCAATTTTATAGGCGGAGAAGAAGTGGTGAAATAAAATAAATAAAAATAAATGATAGTAAATAAAAGTAAATAAAACTAAATAAAAATAAATAAAAATAAACAAAAATAAATAAAAATAAATAAAAATAAATAAATATAAATAAAAGTAAATAAAAATAAACAAAAATAAATAAAAACAAATAAAAATAAATAAAAATAAATAAAAATAAATAAAAATAAATAAAAATAAATAAAAATAAATAAAAATAAATAAAAATAAATAAAAATAAATAAAAATAAATAAAAATAAATAAAAATAAATAAAAATAAATAAAAATAAATAAAAATAAATAAAAATAAATAAAAATAAATAAAAATAAATAAAAATAAATAAAAATAAATAAAAATAAATAAAAATAAATTAAAATAAATAAAAATAAATAAAAATAAATAAAAATAAATAAAAATAAATAAAAATAAATAAAAATAAATAAAAATAAATAAAAATAAATAAAAATAAATAAAAATAAATAAAAATAAATAAAAATAAATAAAAATAAATAAAAATAAATAAAAATAAATAAAAATAAATAAAAATAAATAAAAATAAATAAAAATAAATAAAAATAAATAAAAATAAATAAAAATAAATAAAAATAAATAAAAATAAATAAAAATAAATAAAAATAAATAAAAATAAATAAAAATAAATAAAAATAAATAAAAATAAATAAAAATAAATAAAAATAAATAAAAATGAATAAAAATAAATAAAAATAAATAAAAATAAATAAAAATAAATAAAAATAAATAAAAATAAATAAAAATAAATAAAAATAAATAAAAATAAATAAAAATAAATAAAAATAAATAAAAATAAATAAAAATAAATAAAAATAAATAAAAATAAATAAAAATAAATAAAAATAAATAAAAATAAATAAAAATAAATAAAAATAAATAAAAATAAATAAAAATAAATAAAAATAAATAAAAATAAATAAAAATAAATAAAAATAAATAAAAATAAATAAAAATAAATAAAAATAAATAAAAATAAATAAAAATAAATAAAAATAAATAAAAATAAATAAAAATAAATAAAAATAAATAAAAATAAATAAAAATAAATAAAAATAAATAAAAATAAATAAAAATAAATAAAAATAAATAAAAATAAATAAAAATAAATAAAAATAAATAAAAATAAATAAAAATAAATAAAAATAAATAAAAATAAATAAAAATAAATAAAAATAAATAAAAATAAATAAAAATAAATAAAAATAAATAAAAATAAATAAAAATAAATAAAAATAAATAAAAATAAATAAAAATAAATAAAAATAAATAAAAATAAATAAAAATAAATAAAAATAAATAAAAATAAATAAAAATAAATAAAAATAAATAAAAATAAATAAAAATAAATAAAAATAAATAAAAATAAATAAAAATAAATAAAAATAAATAAAAATAAATCAAAATAAATAAAAATAAATAAAAATAAATAAAAATAAATAAAAATAAATAAAAATAAATAAAAATAAATAAAAATAAATAAAAATAAATAAAAATAAATAAAAATAAATAAAAATAAATAAAAATAAATAAAAATAAATAAAAATAAATAAAAATAAATAAAAATAAATAAAAATAAATAAAAATAAATAAAAATAAATAAAAATAAATAAAAATAAATAAAAATAAATAAAAATAAATAAAAATAAATAAAAATAAATAAAAATAAATAAAAATAAATAAAAATAAATAAAAATAAATAAAAATAAATAAAAATAAATAAAAATAAATAAAAATAAATAAAAATAAATAAAAATAAATAAAAATAAATAAAAATAAATAAAAATAAATAAAAATAAATAAAAATAAATAAAAATAAATAAAAATAAATAAAAATAAATAAAAATAAATAAAAATAAATAAAAATAAATAAAAATAAATAAAAATAAATAAAAATAAATAAAAATAAATAAAAATAAATAAAAATAAATAAAAATAAATAAAAATAAATAAAAATAAATAAAAATAAATAAAAATAAATAAAAATAAATAAAAATAAATAAAAATAAATAAAAATAAATAAAAATAAATAAAAATAAATAAAAATAAATAAAAATAAATAAAAATAAATAAAAATAAATAAAAATAAATAAAAATAAATAAAAATAAATAAAAATAAATAAAAATAAATAAAAATAAATAAAAATAAATAAAAATAAATCAAAATAAATCAAAATAAATAAAAATAAATTAAAATAAATTAAAATAAATAAAAATAAATAAAAATAAATAAAAATAAATTAAAATAAATTAAAATAAATTGAAATAATTAAAAATAACTAAAAACAAGAAAAAATCGAGATTTTAACCGATTTTTCCACATAAAACTTACATCGTCGCTAGTCCTGACAACATATTGGCTTGAATGACGAGAATGAATAAGTTCATATTGTGGTCGGAAAATATTTATGTTAAGGAAAATCGAATTTGGCATGTGTCGATATACTTTTTCACCCTCTTCGCGGCTTACTATATGAAAATGGGGCACTTAAATCGTCACATTCAGACGGACTATTACCTACACCCCACCCGCCCTTTTTAGAGGCCTCAAAAAAAACTTCAAAATAAAAATTATAAATTTGAGATGTATGGGTCCAAAGGCTGATTCGAATCAGAGCCATTTTGGATTTCATCCGCCCAAAATCTTCAAGCGTGGATTGAAAATGAAATTGAAGAAATAATATTAAGCGTGTAATTCATGGGACTGAAGGAGAATGCTTTTGTTACCATATATTTCCCCTACCCCTTTTTCAAAAAAACCTCAAGAAAATAATTTTCTTCAGGTAATTGATGGGATCGAAAGTAGAACGTTTCAGTACCAAATTTTTCATCTTTACCCTTCGTGGGCTCGTGGCAAAATATTTTCTATTTACATTTCTCTCTTTTGGTCCGTCCCCTTGGTGGGACACGCTCCGGCTGATATTCAAAGCAAATTTAAAATTAACGGAAAGAAAAATAAATACCAAGAAGAAGAAATGAAGGATAAAACCAAAGATAAATTGTTATTCATCAAATGAATGTCAAAGGAAAATTAATCTTAAGGTTCCA